CCAGGGCCCCCTTGTCCTGCCTTCACTGGACTCCAGGCCGCTCTCATCACGCGCCTGGCTACTGGGGGACTCAGCTAGGCCCCCAGAGCTACGTGGCCCCCAGTACGGGTTTGCTGGATAAACCGTCTACCTGATGACAAAGAAAGGCCCAAACCTTTCACATCTGTGCACCCTTGTCCTACCTTCTCTCTGGCCTCATGAGAATCTGCTGTTTCTTGAACAGCCTGAGAGAAACTTCCAGACGAGCGGGAGGGGGGTTGTTTCAGGGAAACAAGGCATTAGCTCACCTTCCCTCCAGACAGCTGAGTCTGGTGAGTGGGGACCCGTTCTCCCTCCCTCGCTCACGCTCCCCTCCCGAATCATCCACCTGAGGTCTGTAGGTGAGGAGTCCCCACCCTAGGACACACAGGTGTCTGTTGGAAACTGAATGTGCATCGCACTCAGGTGAACATGCCAGAGTTGCCACATTCAGCTTCTAAAACCCCAGAGCAAGTCTAAGGTTCTTGACGAGGGGCGGCAGGACAAATGCCTCGCTGTCACGGGGACCTGACCCTGGGGACAGGGGTGATCAGGGAGTGGTCAGGCACCTGCCTAGGGGCTGGGAATTCAGACGTCCCTATTCTACCCACTCTCTGTTGAGCCAACGCCCCTGGAAACCATGGCCTGGCCAAACCAGCCCTCACTGACACCCCCACCCCTGCCTGGGGGCTTCTTCCCATTCAGAGCACTACACCCCCAGGGCTGTCACATGTCTGGACGCCCAGGCCCCAGCCAGGACCCTCTAAAGCTGCAGAGCTTGTCCCTGAGGCCATGCTACATTCTGGAAAGTTCTTCGGCTTAGGAGATGCCCAGGCACACACTGACACCTCTGTGCCCCATCCCCCATGCCACCAAGAGACACAGAGGTGACCCTGACTCTCCACCTTAGGGGCCACACCATGCTTGACCTCCAGAGTTGGGGCCCAGAGGCCACACTGTCAGAAAAGCCTGGGCGGGAGGACCACCCGTGCCACAGCCTGTTCCCAGGGGCTTGGGACTCTAGACACTCAGACACCGTCCAGGGGCGGTGGCCATGCTCAGGTGACCCGCTGGGCCTGGCTGTTGGCCCCGCTCAGAGCGGCAGGCTCAGCCAGGGGCCTGTCTCCAGGGAGGACTCACACCCTGCCTGCTCCCCTTCTTGCTCGAGCCACCGGGCAAGGGGCACAGCTTACATCGCACGCGAGGCAGGCTGTGCACGAAGAGCCTTCATCGAGCCAGAGGGGCTCTTGGCATCTTCTCTGCTGAGAGGTTTTTCCACTTAGATGAAGTGCATTTTTGGCACCTGCTAAGGTCCAGCACGTGCTCCTCTCAGCCTCGCTCAGATTGGAGACATTTCATCCTGAGGGACAGTTCCAAAACTCAGCATATCAGCAAATCAATCTTTAAAACTCCTAAATTAATCAATAAAATTGAGAAACGCTTAGCTTGACTGACAAAGAGAGACCACAAGTCAAAAGAAGTGGGGGCATTACTACCGGCCTTACAGAAATAAAAAGGAATAGAACAGAGTACTATGAACAATTGTATGCCAACAAATTAGATAAACATGGACAAGTTCCTGGAGACACAAAAACTACAAACTGTGACTGAGGAAGAAACAGAAATTGTGAAAGGATCTGTAACAAGTAAAGAGATTGGATCAGTAATCAAAAACCTCCCAACAGAGAAAAATACTGGATCAGATGGCTTCATTACTAAATTCTATCTACCAAGAATTTAAAGCATTATTAATACCAATCCTTCCCAAACGCTTCCAAAAACTTTGAAGAGAAGGAACACTTCCAACTCATCCTATGAGGCCTGTATTACCCTGACAAATCCAGACAAAGGCACCAATATTGTATGTGAATATAGATACAGAAATCCTCAACAAAATAATAGCAAAACAAATCTAACAGCATGTTAAAAGGGTTATATACCATGACAAGTGGGATTTATCACAGAAATGTCAGAATGGTTCAGCATAAGAAAATCAATGCAATACATCACATTAACAGAACGCAGGGTAGGGGACCACATGATCCTCTCAATTGATGCAGAAAACGCTTTTGACAAAAATCCAACACCCTTTCATGATAAAAACCACTCCAAAAACTAGGAATAGAAGGGAACTTCCGCAACATAATAAAAAGGCATTTATGAAAACCCACAGCTAACATACCCCATGGTGCAAGACTGGAAGCTTTACCCCCAAGAGCAGGAGCAAGACAAGGTGCCCATCTTCACCACTGTTATTCACCAAAAGTGAAGCTACCTCCATTCACAGATGACAGCATCCTGTAAAGTCTGCTGCTCCAGGCTACAGGCCTGCCCAGCCTGTTACTGCACTAAAGCATGAACCTGGGCCTTTACCTCACTCCATGTTCAGAAATTAAAATGGATAAAAGACCTAAACCTAAGAACTAACTATGAAAACTCTTGGACAAATACATAGGTAAATTTTCATGACCTTGGATTTGGTGATGGATTCTTAGATATGACACCAAAGGCAAGAGCAATAAAAGAAAAATTGGACTTCATCAAAATTTAAAACTTTTGTGGATCAAAGGGCATTATAACAAAAAAGAATGGGAGAAAATATTTGCAAGTCCTATATCTGATGAGTCTAGTGTCCAGAATGTATAAGGCACTTTTACAACTAAGCAACAAAAAGACAAACACTCCTATTCAAAAGGACTTAAATAGTTACTTCTCCAAGGAAGACGTACAAATGGCCAACACACACATGAAAAGATGCTCATCATCCTTAGTCATTAGAGAAATGCACATGGAAACCACAGTTAGGTACCATGTCGCACCCACTAGGATGGCTGTAATCTTCTTTTAAATAGAGAATAACAAGTGCTGGTGAGGACGTACCCTGGGAATGCAGAATGGTGTAGCCACTGTGGAAAACGGTCTGGCAGCTCCTCAAAAAAGTTACATGTAGGATTACCATGTGATCCAGCAATTCCACTTCCAGGTATATACCCAAAAAACTGAAAACAGAGGCTCAAGCAGATGCTCGTATGCCAGTGTTCACAGCAGCATTATGCACAGCAGCCAAATGTCCACCAACACACAAATAGATAAACAGAACGTGGTGGAATATTATTCAGCCACAAAAAGGAATGAAGTATCTACACACGCTACAACGTGGAGACATGCTCAGTAAAAGAAGCCAGACACACAAGGTCACCTAGTCTATGATTCCATTCATATGAAATGTCTGGAATAGGTAAATCCATAGAGATGGAAAGGCTAGCGGTTGCCGGTCGGCACAGGGTTTCCTTTGGAGGTGATGAAATACTTTGGAACCAGACAGAGGTGATGCTTGTACAACACTGTGATGTACTGAATGCTGCTGATTATTCGCTTTTAAACAGTTCATTTTATGTTAATGTCAATTTCACCGCAATTTTTAAAAATAAGACAAATGAACAAAACCCAAAAAATAGCCTGAGTGTCCTAGGCCCTGGACCTCCCTGCCCCAGAGGCGTGGAGAACCCACGCTGCCAGGACCTAGTGGGACCACCGTGGGGGCCAAGCAGACTGAGTGCTTCATCTCTTTTGCTGAGTGCACAGGGCTAGATTCACTTAAGGCCAATATACCAGGCGGTGACTAACCGGCGGCATAGAAAGCAGGCATCCAGAGCCAGCATATGACCACACATGGGCTCTGTTTTAACTGGTGGTCTAGGAAAGATGGTTATAGACATGCAATTACCAATTAGCCGAGGAAAACGGGAGCAAATGAAAAGGCAGCTGTGCTACATGATGGCGATTCTTAAACATTTTGCCATCTGGATGGCTTTCTGCTAAGACTGCCTGCCCCTCCCTTACCCAGACCAGCTCAGTGTTTAGCAGGTCTGGGGTATAGCTAGGGTCCCTCCCCATTTCTTAGTGGTGTGAAACCACCTCGCTCCACCGGACTGGCCTGGCTGGTAGGGCAGCAGCTGACCCGCCTCTGGGCTGGGTGGCTCACTTTTCTAGGGCATCGGTAGCTGCCCAGGTCTTTCCCCACAGTCCAACCTCTTACAGCTTTATTTTCAGTCCTGGTACCTGGTGGTCTCAGCCCCCACGTCTCAAACCTGCTTTGACTATCATTGGCCCATTACTCAAAACAAGCTGAAGTTTATTATTAATTCTAATAGTTTATATGCAAATAGTGGACAGCATGGTTTCTTTCCTCCCTACTCCTGTACCTCTTTTTCTTGTCTTGTGCTGGCATCCAGGTTGAGACTCACCATCTCTCTTATAATCTCTCATCTTTCCTAACCTAGAAGTTGTCCCTTTAAAAATCTCACCACGGGGCGGCCGGTTATCTCAGGTGGTTAGAGCGCAGTGCTCATAACACCAAGGTTGCTGGTTTGATCCCCGCATGGGCCACTGAGCTGCGCCCTCCACAACTAGATTGAAACAACTACTTGACTTGGAGCTGATGGGTCCTGGAAGAACACACTGTTCCCCAGTAAAAAAAAAAAAAAAATTTAATTTAATTAAAAAATGTATAATGCTACCTTTAAAAACAAAAAGTAGGATGGACGCATGTTTGCATGATCACTCAATGGAATACTACACAGCCAAGAGACACAACCATCTACAATCACGTCCCAGACGCACAGCTGAGCAAGAGGTGAGGTGCATGCGGGCACATACTCCATGATGTCATTCATCATCTACAGCTCATGAACGTGCAGGACCAGAGTCGTGGTGCCGCTGGGGGCACACGAGGGGCCATGAGGTCCAGCTGTTGACCTGGTGGCGGTTACACTGACATTCAGTCTGCGAACATTTTCTGAGCTCACACATTTTACAGACTTTTTTCATATGCA